TCGTCGGCGGAGAGGTCGTTGTCATCCGCTTCGTCGCTGTCGCAGTCTCCGTCGCCGTCGATTCAGAGATCTCTAACTTCGACGGCTGCTAGCAAGATGAAGAAGGCGTTGGGGTTGAAATCGTCGAAGAAGAGCGACGGGAAGGAGAGCAGCCCCTCTAGGACGGTGAAGAAGCCAATGACAATTGGGGAGCTCATGAGGGTGCAGATGAGAGTGTCAGAGCAAACTGATTCGCGGATCCGGCGTGGGCTGCTCAGGATCTCTGCTAGCCAGGTGAGCTACAGTGCTTGTATTGGGTTTCTGACATATCGTCTGGCATTTGTTCCTGTTACGTGGTTCGCTCTTTATTCCCAATTATCTATGTTTGGAAATTATCTATGTTTCGATGTCATTCAAATCACCGCCGCACGGGTTCTTTGTTTTTTGTATCCAATTCCTGGCCATTATTTGTAATTTTGAGTTTTGAAATAATAAAGTGAGTTTGTTGCACGGCAACATTATTGTTTGTTATGTATTCTGGCCATTATTTGTAATTTTGAGTTTTGAAATAATGAAGTGAGTTTGTTGCACTGCAACATTATTGTTTGTTATGCATTTTCACACAAGAGTTTGTAGAACTCTTGAGTACCTTTTTCAAATCCATAAAATGACATGTTTGCTCTCATAGTGCATTTAGCTAGTGTGGTAATTCCTCGATTATATTTTTCCTAAAAAGCTATTAGGCTGTCTTGTTTTTTACCCTTGGTGTCTAAACGCCTGTTACCTCGACCGTGAATGATAATCTTTTACCCTTTTACTACTTGACATTATGTTTAAGGAAATATGGCTGTTTCCAAGCAAGAACAAAATTCATATGGCATCAAAGGCAAGTTTGGGCAGCACGCATATGGTTTATGCTGAGCATTGTGTCAGACTTGATTTCTTTTTATTAGGTGAGAAGTTTTATGTTTTTTTTTTTTGTCTGATCTCTACTGCATTACAATCCCTGTTATGTGGTTGATATGTCCCATTATCACCTAATTTACTTTGATTTGTATGTTATTCCTGCCTTGGCCTTGCAAGAGATTTTTTTGAAGAAAATTGGTTCTTTAAGCTAACCTTTTTTTTTAACTTCTTCCTTTTCTATTGTTGAGTGCATGTAGTGTTTGTGTTTTTAACCTATCAAGTTCTAGCATCTTTAAACAAATGTTAGTTTGAAACCATAAATATCAGCACAATACTTGGTCTTCTTGGTCTTTTGATGTCCTTATTTTTGAGCTTGATAATACCTTGATGACCTCTAGTATGCTCAATGGGTTCCACATCTTGACCTTTCTATCTACTTTTTTTGACAGCTTGGGAGACGCGTAGAATCCATAATTTTGCCACTGGAGTTAATGCAGCAATTTAAAAATTCTGATTTTCCAGACCAGCAAGAGTATGAAGCTTGGCGAAGAAGAAATTTGAAGCTTCTTGAGGCCGGATTGCTTCTACACCCTCTTGTATCATTAGATAAATCAGAAGTTGCATCCCAAAGGCTTAGGCAGATCATTCGTGGAGCTGCAGAGAGGCCAATAGAGACTGGAAAGAATTCTGAGTCCATGCAGGTCCTTCGCAGTGCTGTAATGCCCTTAGCTAGCAGATCAGCAGATGGATTTTCTTCTGAAGCATACCACTGGGCAGATGGAAGTCCCCTGAATCTCCATCTGTACCACATGCTGTTAGAGGCATGTTTTGATTATGAGGAAGGATATATAATAGATGAAATTGATGATATGATGGAATTGATCAAGAAAACTTGGGTTGTTCTAGGAATTACTCAGATGCTTCATAATCTCTGTTTCTTGTGGATTTTGTTTTGTCGTTTTGTGAAAACTGGGCAAACGGACTTTGATTTGCTGGTTGCAGCTGATAACCAACTAATGGAAGTTTCTAAGGATGCTAAATCAGCTAAGGATGTGGTTTACTCGAAGATGCTAAGTGCAACCTTGAGTTCAATAATGGGATGGACAGAGAAAAGACTTTTAACTTACCATGAAACATTCAATGCTTCTAACATTGAATTCATGGAGCATATTGTTTCTATAGGGGTGACATCTGCCAAGATACTGGTGGAAGACATCTCTCATGAATATCGTCGCAAGAGAAGAGAAGAAACTGACGTAGCTCGTAGCAGAATCGACACTTATATTCGTTCATCACTTAGAACATCTTTTGCTCAGGTTTGCAATCTTGTTCCATTTCAAAGATTACAAAACTTTCTTTAAACCATAGTTGTTTTAGTTCGCTGTTGATTTTTCTGATTCCTAGTAACATGGCTCTATTTTTATTATTTATTGAGGAGATATGATTTTGGTGTCTCATACAATTCCCATTAAGCAATTGGGTCTCTTGCGTCATTCATTGGTAGTTGGATTCAGGGTTCAGTTTTTCATTAATCATGTTGTCTTCAGTTTTTTTTTTGTAATCTGCTGTTGTTACAGCTGAAGAGCCTTGTAATTTTTGGGGCTTTTGCATTTAAACTGAATATGGGGAAAGTATTGAAACATGCACTTTAAATTATTGAAACTTAGTGATAAAAGACATGTTCGGAAACTGTAAGCTATAGTTTTGTTCCTCTTACACAATTTTCAAAAAGAAAATTGGGAAATGCTACGGGTTCAAATGATACATATATTTCTTATTTCTTACTTATTACACACAAACTTGACATTGATCTCTTTAAGATATTTGATTGTTAGGCCATGGATCCTATGGTGGATTGCTTGAATTAGGGATGGTCGGTCAAAAATAAATTAATATTTAGAAGATATTAAAGTATATAACATCAATTGCTTAGGTCCTTATATGGTTTGATAGATGATATTCAGACAATTCTTTCAAATATCCATTTGTAAAGTTACATATACAACAGTTGTTGCACTAAGGTGGTCTTTTTTCTATTATTTTATTTTCTAGATGAAGGTTGTCCTTTAAACCGTTTGAGTGATGCTATTTAGGTTGTTGGTCTTTTTTCTATTATTTTATTTTCTAGATGAAGATTGTCCTTTAAACCGTTTGAGTGATGTTAATGAGGATAATCATCTTTTAAAAAAAGAAAAGATAATATGCTGTCCATAAAATTATGGTGTTTCCTTATTTGATGCTAGATATCTCTGAGTATGTTGTGCAAATAGATCATATTGATTTATTTGATATTTAATGCTAGCTATACAGGCTATATAAGTAATGGCAATGTATATTGATGATCTAATTTGATTCATTATAACTTAGATGATGGAGAAGGTAGACTCAAATAGGCGCTCAGCGAAAAATCTGAGCATTTCAGTGCCAGTTCTTGCCATACTTGCAAAGGATATTGGTGATCTGGCAAACAACGAGAAAGAGATTTTTAGTCCAATATTAAAGAAATGGCATCCTCTTGCTGCTGGTGTTGCTGTCGCCACACTTCATTCTTGTTTTGGGAATGAGTTGAAGCAATTTATATCCAATGTCACAGATCTTACTGCTGATTCTGTACAAGTACTGAAGGCGGCGGACAAGTTAGAAAAAGACCTTGTGCAGATTGCTGTTGAGGACTCTGTTGATAGTGAAGATGGTGGTAAGGGCCTCATACGGGAGATGCCTCCATATGAGGCTGAATCTGCCATCGCTAATCTTAGCAAAGCTTGGATGAAAATGAGAGTGGATAAGCTAAGGGAGTGGGTTGACAGGATCTTGCTGCAGGAGGTATGATAATTTTTTTATCTGCTGAGCCTTTTTTGGTTATTCGCTTAGAAAATTATTTCTTGGTTGCATGATATTAAATCACGTAATACATCAAATGTCATACGGCATGAAACATATTTTAATTTAAAAGTGAATTCAAAATGAATTTGATATAAAGATACAAGCTCTTCTCTCTTATTGACCCCATTTGATTCCTACGTAATGCTTTTAAAAGTGAATCCATCAAGCAGTGAAGATTAGCCTACAAGCACATTTTGCATCTTATGCTGAAATGGTGAAGGTCAGGACAAAGAGAGGCTGCTTATTAGTACCATGATTTTCATTGATTTGTGTACAAACTTCTTGTTAATGTTCAAATGAATTCCATGAGCAAATCAATAATTTATTTTGCTTCAAATTTGATTATGTTTTGCAGAAGTAGTGCGCTCGCTTGAATGTTTATTGGTACATTTAAGCACTTAAAGTTTTTTAATTTGCTTATTAGCAGAATTTCATTTTTTTTGTATTCATGCTAGATGGTTTAGCAGGTGTATATTTTGTAGTTGAGGATTGTTAAATTACATGCAAGCTTAAACATACCAAAAACAGCGCTCAAGTTCAGTTCAATAGCCAGTACAGTAATATTTTGATTAATTTTCATATGCAGTACTGCTTATTAGATTATTTTCCAAACATTTTAGGCATGGAACCCTAAGTCAACCAATAGGGACCGTTGTGCGCCATCTGGAGTTGAAGTTCTCCGATTGGTTGTCGAAACCCTAGATGCATTTTTCCAGCTGCCTATACCAATGCATGCAGCTTTGCTTCCAGACTTGATGATTGGGCTAGATAAAAGCTTGCAACATTATGCAACAAAAGCCAAAACTGGATGCGGTAAGTTTGAAAAGACTACAAATTGACAACCTTTTAGGCCATCCCTGCACTCTAAGGACTTGATTTTGATTTCAGGAACACGAAATAGTTTCATTCCTGTGCTTCCTTCATTAACCAGAGTTGAAATTGGATCAAAAATCTGGAAGAAAAAGGATAAATTACAAAATCTGCAGAGGAGAAATTCGCAGGTTGGAACAGTAACTGGCGAAGTTTCCATTGGTCTGCTGCAGTTATGCGTCCGCATGAACACCCTTCATCACATCCGAACAGAAGCAGACAACTTTGGGAAGAAAATAAAAACTTATTTAAGGAATGTGGAATCCGCTGAATCAGACATCACGAATGGGTTTGAAAACAAATTTGATCTCACTGTTGCCGCTTGCCAGGAAGGGATTCAGCAATTGTGTGAAACCGCAGCATACAAAGTAGTTTTCAGTGATCTGAGCCATGTTCTATGGGATTCTCTATATGTTGGAGACGCCTCTGGATCAAGGATAGATCCTCTGCTTAAACAGGTTGATCTATACCTGGAAACAATATCTAACACCGTCCATGAAAGGCTGCGAAACCGTGTAATAACTGCTCTGATGAAGGCTTCTTTCGATGGATTTCTACTCGTTCTTCTTGCGGGCGGCCCATCTCGTGCTTTCTCCCGCCACGACTCTCAGATCCTGGAGGATGATTTCAAGGCACTGAAAGACGTTTACTATGCTGATGGAGATGGGCTGCCAATGGAAGTGGTTGAGAAGGCTGCAACGCAAGTCAAGAGTGTGCTACCCCTCTTTAGAATCGAAACGGAAACTCTAATTGAACGGTTTAAACACATAATTACAGAGACGAATGGTGCCGTGGCGAAATCCAAGTACCCTTTACCTCCGACTTCAGGTCACTGGAGCCCGGCTGAAGCCAATACAGTTTTGCGGGTTTTGTGTCATCGTTCCGATGACGCTGCTTCAAAGTTTTTAAAGAAAATGTACAACCTTCCTAAGAAACTATAGTCTGTTTATTCACACGGTATGGTGGAGCTTCTTGATTGTATGGCTTGCCTGAGATTGCAGGAGGATGGGATTTTTAGCCTCTTATTATGGGTTTATCTGCTAAATCTATCACTTTGGTCTCCCACAATTCAGAAAGAATTTTTTGAATTAAGTTTGGAGATAAGGTCATAAAGGCGAGTAATGTTTACTTTTATTATGATGATGATGATTATTATTATTATTTATTTATTTATAGATGTCGGTTTTCAAGAATGAGTTGATATTGGTTTGTGAATATTTTTATTTTTTAGGCTGTGTATTATTTATTTTAAATGTGACTTATTTACTATTTATGTCATTAGTGTGTATTTATGCTACAACATGCATGGGGGAATTCATGGAGGCAGGCTTTGGGGCATTGAGGAGGACAAACTTTTGTAGAAATGTTTTTATGATAAAATATGATGGATTTCAAACTATCATATTACCCACATTAATCTAGTGGATGATGAATGTCTGCCTGAAACATGATAAATAATGAATACATCATTCCTTGTTGCAGAGATTTTTTTATTAAAATGGTCTAGTTTGTACATTTATTTCTCATAAATTATGGGTTTTAGGTATGAATACATCATTCCTTGTTGCAGAGATTTTTTTATGAAAATGGTCCTGAAATGGATTAGTTTGTACATTTATTTCTCATAAATTATGGGTTCTGCTGAGATTTGAGAGTTATGATATAAAAATTAGGGGATTTAGGTGTTATTGATGCGTCTCACACCTCAAAATTTAATATTATGAAATTAACACTTTCTGTTAACGCATCCTTCTCCATCTTCAATATTTCTTTCGCTGGCAATCTTCTTCAACAGCACGATGTTGCTTCCCTTCTTTGGCAATCCTACCATCTTCATTTATCCTCCCATCTGATTACACAGGCTAAAAAATTTTATTTTTTAATGAACTTTCCAAACAGTGGAATTTTGTCATTGATGTCTTCATCTAATGACTTTTATTGCAGTTTGATGCCTTCTCCCAATAAGATGTGTAAGTTGATGGTCGAACTAGCTCTGGCGAAGTCTAGCGATACGACGAAGATCTCATGATATGATAGTTCATAAGTATAAATAAGGGTGTAAGAAATATTTTGATTCGTTTATATTTTGAACATAAAAAGTGTGTGTTCGTCTCCTTTGTTTAAGTGAGCTGTTCACGAACAAA